CTGAGCTGAGTTCTCATCTGTCCATTGAATCCAATAAATTCCTCTTTGGCTTCATTAGACATAGTATGTTTTTAATGCTTCAAGAGAAAAACTGTGACTGATACGATGATTTTCTCTGCCTTTTGCTCATCTTTCCATTGGCAGCCCGATGACAGACCATTTGAACCCATGAAAGCAGTAACCATATATGGTATAAGATCTCTGTCTTACGCAGATGTGATTGCTACATTAGGTAAAAGGTGAGACATGATCTTTTTTAAAGAATTATTTAGCCGGGTGGTGGTGGCGCACGCCTTTAATCCCAGCACTTGGGAGGCAGAGGCAGGCGGATTTCTGAGTTCGAGGCCAGCCTGGTCTACAGAGTGAGTTCCAGGACAGCCAGGACTACACAGAGAAACCTTGTCACAAAAAACAAAAAACAAACAAAAAAAAAGAATTATTTATTTGTTTTATGTATACAAGTATACTGTTACTGTCTTCAGACACACCAGAGGAGAGCATCGGATCCCATTACAGATGGTTGCAAGCTACCTTGTAGTTGCTGGGAATTGAACTCACGGCCACTGGAAGAGCAGTCAGTGCTCATAACTGGTGAGCCATCTCTTCAGTCCGAGACATAATCTTTAAGAAAAATAATCCTACAGAAATCTGTGACCTAAAAGGGTCTAGATCATCATGGGCACACTCTAATGCCTCTGCCAGACAAAAAGGTGTTACAGCAGCTGACATTTCCAGCACAGTGTTGTGCTGGTCTCCTGGGGCTGCTTTTGTGTATCTTCCTGGCAGTAGGAAGTTGACTTATTAATCTCTTAAGAGAACCTCACAAATAAGTTTTGTATATATATTTGCATATTTTGTCTATGAAAAAGTACAAACAGTTGATTGGATTTTTTTCTTCTATGATAGTTTATTTTAGTTTTTGAAGTTAGTGTTACACCATTTCTCTTTTTACCTTTGTTCCAGCTCCTCCCAGTCCTTGTAGTCTTCCCTACTCCTTCTCAAATTCATGGCCTCTTTTGTGTGTGTGTGTGTGTGTATGTATGTATACATCTCACATTTTTAATCCATATGTTACCTGTATGTATATGCTCTCAAGGCTGACTACTTGGTATTGAATAACCAACTGGGAGGTCTTTACATGGAGAAGACCATTTCTCTTGCTTGCCACCTTCCCCTGTTCATAATTCTTTGTGTAGAACTGAGGCCCCTTGAGCTTTCATTTTTCCATGTTAATATGTCCATGGGTGTGGTCACTGTTCAAGGCTTCCTTGGGTATCCTGATGATGAGACTTTGTGAGTGTAACCCTTCCAACATTTCTGGGAGACATGATCTCACAGCAAGCGTCCTGATTGATTGTCTAGCTTGTAACCTTTCCATCTCATCTTCTGCAGTGACCCCTGAGCCTTAGGTGCGGGAGCTGGGTTGATGTATTGGCTGTGACTAGGCACTGCATGGTCTCTGCAACGCTCTCCATCTACTGCAAGAGAAGCTTCTTTGATGAGGGAGTGAGAAGAATACTTATCTGTGGGATATTTAGAGTGTAGTTAGGAAGTGGTTGCTATTGGCTTTCATCTAAGATCCCAGACTTCATCAGCCCCAGTTAGCTGACTGGGTTTCTGTCACCAAGCATGGCTTCTCTCTTTCTGAGCAGGTCTTAAGCCCAATTAGAGAGCTGTTATCACCAAGTGTATGTGCTGTCATTGCACCCTGACGGTTATCATGCCATGCCGGTGACTGCTGTGGTTCATAGATGTCATAGCTGGTAGGACAGCTGGATGCTTTCTCCCTTGAAAGTTTGAATGGCATGTTCTGGTACCACGAAGCTAGTCATCACAGAGGAGCCTTTCAGACTAGACTCAGCTCACATCCTTCTGGTCCTATGTCTGAAGTCCATTGGCATTTTAAGAAATAGGGACTTACCTTCTACCTTGGAGGCAACCAAGGGTGGCAGCAATATTCTATAAGGTTTTGGGAGGGGACTTCTCATGCCTGGTGGTTTTTTTTTTTTTGATGGTCTATGTATCTTATGTGCATGGAAGGGACAAAACATTGTCAGACCAATGGGAAAGCTTCATTTAAACTAAATAATGTATATTACACAAGACATGTTTTGTATTTAATTTAATTTTATGTAGGTAGATAGTTATATGACTGTGACTTTTAGACATCTTTATTATTACTTTGCCCACACCTGTTTCTTCTGTATTTATCTCTCTCCCCTGACCCAAATTAATCCCCTTCCTGTACCCCGCCATTCCCCTCTATATCGTTCCCCGCTTCCGCCATTTTCTCTTCTACTTTCCTGGGCTTTGCAGTTACTCCAGATTATGGACTTGGCATCTGAAGACTTGGAGCTGGGGACCACAGATGAGAAAGAGCATGTGATGTTTGTTTTTCTGGGTCTGAGTCACATCACTCAAAATGATCTTTTATAGATCTATCCATTTGCCTGAAAATTTTCACGTTTTCATTTTTCTTTACAGCTGAATATTCCACTGGGTACACACCCCACATTGTCATTATCCACTCTTCAGCTGAAGAACATTTAGGTTGTCACCATGTCCTAGGTATCGTGAATAGAATGGCAATGGATACGGCTGAGCAAGTAGCTGTGCGGTATGACGTCATGTCCTTTGGGCATATGCTGAGGCATGGTCACTTCAGAATGCATTTCCCTTGTATGTATCTGTGTGTCTTTGTGTGGGCTGTGTATGAATATATGTTTATAGGTGTTCATATGTGCTTGGGGTGCACTTGCACATATATGAGATACCTGTGGAAGTCAGCGGTCAATGTTGGACTTTCTAAATTGGTTCTCTAACATATTTTTTAGACAGGGTCTCTCACTGATTCTGCAGCGCCAGACACTTGTCACTCTAACAGCTTTGTTAATTTGTGTTTGGGGGACCAAGACTCAGGGTCTCATGTGTGCAGCAGCAAGCCCTTTATCCACAGAGCTCTCACCCTTCCTTGCACACTATTTTTTGTCAGTTGCAGTAACCATTTTTATTTTCTTGTTGATTGGTAAGAAAACGAAAATCTAGTAAGATGGGAAACAGCTTAGCTAATAACACTAAATATACATTGAAAGCAAAACAGGAAACACAGATTAGACAAAACAAAAAAGAATACCAGAATAGAAACAGGGGACTTAAAGGTGAGAGAAATAGGACAAACAAAAACCCAACCAAGTAACAACCAAATCTAAGAGGAATTCTACAACAATGTCTCCATTCTAACTTGTGTAATAGATACTGCCTGTAAGAAAACAAAATTGCAGGTTTAGTGAGAAGTTTGCCTTGCCTTGGGCAGGCCCAGGACAGTGTTTAAGTCAAGTCCACTGTGAAGACTTTTGGGAACAGATCAAAATGGAAAATAATGCTGACATTTACACAAGGGTTTTCCACTTGTTCAAAACATCAGCAAACCCAATCCCTTTAAAGCTATACTTAGGAAGAATTGTTGTTGTGTTTTTTTTGTTTTGTTTTTCAAAAGTAAGTAAAGAGCTAAAAAACACAGAATGGAGTCTTGCTAGGAGATGGTTAATTTGTCATTTAACCATTTTGCCTTTCATTTGTCCACTGGTTACATGAAGAAGCTATTATGTTGCTGACGCCAAAAATGAGACTCCTCTAAAAGAAATTATTAATAATGCAGTGTTAATACCATCTGCTCCAGGTTTCAGGAAGAGATTGGACATGGAATTCCTCAGTGTCACCTTTTCTTGTCCTCGGTTTCCTCATCCATCACGTGAGGATCATTTACTGAATAGTAGCAAATTTCTCAAAAGAGCACCGTGGAAAAGACAAAGGAAAAAAAAAGTCAGCAAGAGAGACTGGTATTTTTAAACTACAGGGGAAATGTACTGAGCAGGAAAGATAACGCAGACCTTGAGCGCCTAAGGAAGCCAAGGCTGCTTCGCTTAAACTTACTTCTTAGGAGATTAGATTTGCTGAGGAGGGAAGGGCGAGTTTCTTACCAAAATCATTAAAGAAAATGATTCTGAACATGTCTTAAAACAGAGCTTTCAGTAAACAGGAATTACCTATAAAGAAAATCAGGAAGGCGAAGTGTTTCTTTTTATGAAGTTACATCCTGCCATAGAAAAGCTGGATCGGAAATAAAGACCGACTGCAGACCAACCCGGCTATTATTTCATCAAGGAAAATCTGAGCAAAAAGCTCGGTTCAGTCACCAGTAAAAACAAGAAAACCAAGAGAAGTCTGAATGCCCCAAAGAAGCCAGACAAGCAATGGCTACTGGTAAACAGATAGAGAAGAGCCCAAGCAATCTCTACTGTGTGGTTTTGGGGTTCTTTGTTGCAAGTCCCTTGAATTTCATACTTCCCCTTCACTTTTCCTTGGGTATGTGTGTGTTGGGGGGGCATATTTGGGTGCCCAAGAAAATGAGACTAACAAATTATGAATTTCTTATTCTTCTTCGTTGCGCGTTTACTGGTTCTAGCCTTCCCAGTTTCTGCAATGGTACTTCTCTACTTTGTTCCTCACTTCTCTAATTTGCCATCGCCATCCTTAACACCTTTCCATTTTATCCTCCCACTCTCAAAGGCGAGGCTATTTCTTTGGAGAATACGTTCCCACGGCTGTGAGGCTGGAGTGGCAGGTGCCAGTCTCCACTAGCAAAGTAGAAAGCAGCTCATTCCCTGCGCTCTCTCCTGCCCACCCCACCGACTCGCAACTCCACACGATCCTCAGACACACACACACCTCCTCCTTCTCCTCCTCCAACCTCGCATCCTCTCGCACACCCTGTGGCGGTGCGCACGCCAGGCTGCCCGCCACCACAGTAACGCTCAACCCACTCGGCGGCCCCACCCATGGCCGTCCCGCCTCCGACGCGCGCACCAATGGCTGGCGGCGCTCAGCCCTCAGCGGGCCCTTTGATAGGGCAGAAAGACCTGACAGTCTCAGGGCGTGTCCCGCCCCCTCTCGAACCCCTCGGGATCCGGAGCAGCCCGAGCATCAGCGAGAGTAGCTGCGAGAAGCCGCGGCGGCGGCGGCGCGTCGGTGCAGTTGCGCCATCTGTCAGGAGCGCAGCCGGCGGGGAGGGGGCTCCGCGGAGAGGAGGAGGGGTCGCCGTGCGCAGGGCCTCCGAGACCCGCCCGCTGGTCAAGAGCGCAGCGAGGCCGCCTCTAGCCGGAGCGTTCGGAGGACTCCCCCGGCGCACACAAAGCCGCCACCCGCGCCAGGGAGGGACCGGGCTGCCGGGCCGGGGACACCGGCGCCGCCCCCTCGGCGCTTCGCGAGGCCCACGAGCTCCTGGGCCCCGCCGCGGAGCCGCCGGAGCCGCCTGAGCCGCGCCGGAGGAGGGCGGGTAGAGGACCATGTGAATGTGCTCCGGAACCGAGCGCCACGCCACGCAGGTAAGCGACCGCGGATGCGCGGAGCCTCGGGATGCTGCGGAGACGCCCGGCCCAGCGCCCCCGCACGGGCTGCCCCCGCTGCGGTCCCGCCGCGCAGCCTCCAGGGCGCCCCGCGACGCAGGACACTGATGCGGGGTGCCGCCCCGAGGCTGCGCGGGCACCGGGGTGCCTTTCCTCGGCCGCCGGCGGGCGCCGGGTGAAAAATAGGCATCGACTTGGGGGCGAGGTTGGCCCAGCTCCGCCCCCGCCCTCTTTTCGCTGCCCCCCGCGGGGACCCAGGCTGTGTGTGTTGTTTTAATGTCAGGGATGATGTAATCACTTAATAATTGATGCCCCGTGCTGCTTTCCTCCCCACCCAACCCCTGCCCCACTCCCCCACCTCCCGGCCTCCTCCCTCGGCGGCCCTCGCGTTCCCCAGCGCATCCTCCTGCCTATTTCTGGAACCTCCCTTGCACTTCCCCCACCCTCCCCTTCACCCTTCCTGTGCTACCACCCACCCACCCTTCCCCTTTCCCCTGTGTCTGGCCTTGCCTCCTCTTCCTCTGTCCCCCACCCCTTCTGCTCTCTCAAGCTTATTTCTCCTCCCTTCTCGACTCGCTGGATTTCCTCCCTACTTCCCTAGGTCGGTAAATGGTTTTGTTTGGTCTCCTCTAGGCTCTCTTATCTATGAGGCCACAGGGACTGGGCTAGAAAGAGGCCACCAAGCTTGGGCCCAGGAGGCGTTTGCTGGGACTCACTGGGAGGAGGGATAATAAAATCACCCATCTTGCCCCTCCTTCCTCTAATAAATCAGACTCGCTCTGTGTGTGTGTCTGTGTGCGTGTGTGTGTGTGTGTGTGACACAAAGAGCCCTTTCAGTTCATAGAGAAGAGACACATAAAGTACCCAGGGCACCATGCTTCTTGTATCTCATCCCTGGGGCTTCCCTTTCTTTCTGGTGAAGCAGTTGATCTCTTAGTCCTTTCTGCCACACTTTCCAAAAATGAAGGCTCCCCAATCCCGGGTGGCAGGTGCAGGCATTTTGCTGTGTTCACAGACTGGTAGCCTTGAGTGGCAACTGCAGTTTCCTCTATGTAAGGGGGGAATTATTTCAGCTGTTTTGGGAGTTGCTGTACTTTCAAGGAAACCTTCTCCCACCCCTTACCTCCCCCATTTTTCTTCTTGGGGTATAGGTTCTGATACCTGAGACAGGATAAATTGATGAGGGATCAGAAGAATTTTGTGTCTGAGTCAGAATCAAACTGTTTAACAAACTGACTGAATTCTCTAAAGCCCAAGACCACTTTGCTGAATGAAGTCTTTTGAAATGTGCTCTGGTCTGCCCAGCAATGCTGCCTAGCCCTTTTATTTAAGTAACTGGGGCTGTGGATAGAAAGCACTTGGGCTGGCGTTTGGAAGACCCTGGAGGTGCCACTTGTCTGCTTCAAGGATGACTTTGGATGCCCACATCTGCCCTCTCATCACCAAAGCGGCTAGAGTCGTTTTCACCCTTCGTGCCCAGTCTCACAGTCCCTACCCCATGAGTACCTCGCATTCAGACCTCGGAGGAAGTGGTTTCAACTCTCAAGCTTTGGGGCCAGTTAACTATGAACGGGAGATGTAGATGTCTGAATTCAGAACCTGTGACGTTCCTCTTAAGGTAGAAACGTTAATGTAAATCTCAGGCTTACCATGTCAAGACTTAGGTCTGATCCGCTGATTCCTGGATTACAGGGCCTCAACTGTCGAAAGTAAAGAAACTGTCCCAAGTTTACTCTTTAGCTGTTTTATCTGAAAAGAGTTATGATGCGTTAAGCTGACATACTTCATGGAATATATACATATACACATATACATACATCGTATACATACATACACGCACATACATACATACAGCAGAAGGGTTAATACTGAATGTTCTCTGCAAACAAAGGCTGGTTTGTTGGTATACCAGACCCAGTCAGGAAAGCCAGTACACAACAACCTTACACTGTACTGACCAAGTCAGAAGCACTTACTAATGATAAGGTTGAACGAACGTGAGCGAGTGCCCTCTACTTTCTGAGGGTCTGGAGTCCCCCCACCATCATCTGATGCTCTTGAAGCCCAGGGCCAGCACAGATGTCATCTCTGTTCTGAAGCCTTCACCAGCTTCTCTGCTCCAGACAAGCCGCCATGTCTCCAGGTTTGCCCTCCAATGCCATCATCAGATTCTCTTTTTGTTTTCTGTCCACTTCTGCCATAGGGTAGAGAACCTAATCTGGTTTGTCTCATTTTCTGTTAAGTTTTACTTTCGTTGGTATTACTTGTTAGTTTCATTTAATGAGCGACAAATGTGAATTAGATCAATGATACGTACCCAACCTCTTTCAGGGAGACTCGGGTTAGGAGCTATAATAGGCCTGAGAACATATAATGTACAAAACCAAAATATATTTATTTTTGCTCACATGCTAGTGATTCTGGGTCCCATTCTCCCATCATGCCACAGCTTCCCACCGTAACCTGTTTCAGCTGACATCAGTGGGATGAAGAGTTGAGGAGGATGCTTTAAAATGCTTTGGTCTGCACACGTCACTTCCACTCCGCCATTAGAAGAGTCGTGGCTATATGGCAGTGTTTAATGGCAGGAAAATCCAATCTGAGAAGTCTAGGTTAGCCATGTGCCTGAGAAAGGAAAAGAAGTGTGTGTTTGGTAAACACTTTGGCATAACATTTAACAAAAGCCATCATTGTTTGGTTGCTTTGATTTTATAAGTTAAGGTATTTTCAGCTTCAGCATGTGGGGTTTTTTTTGTTTGTTTGTTTGTTTTTGTTTTTGTTTTTGTGGTTTTTGGAGACAGGGTTTCTCTGTGTAGCCCTGGCTGTCCTGGAACTCACTCTGTATACCAGGCTGGCCTCGAACTCAGAAATCTGCCTGCCTCTGCCTCCCAAGTGCTGGGATTAAAGGCAAGCCACCGCCCGGCCAGCATGTTTTTAAAAACCTGGCTTTTTGTCATTTCGGGGACTACTTACCATTGGGCCATTCCTGGCCATGCTGTCGTTTAATCCTGGCTCTGTGTACTTTGAAGTGGTTCTTTGACCCCAAGAAGCACCTATCTTGGCCTAGTTTTCTTTTGGTAGTTCTGGAAACTAGTGAAGCTTCTTACAAACCACGGCACCATTTTACTTAGCTCCCTTAACAATTAAACTGACACTTGGTGTTCCCAGAGGAGGGCTTGCTTCATGGGGACTGGACAGTGCGGACGTAGGAGTGAGAGTCAAATCTATTTGCTTAGGTTACTAAGGGCTGAACTTACTGTCTGACAATGGCTTTCTTTCATGACAGTTCCTGGTTTAGTTGGGAATTAGATTTTCCTCTTTTCCTTCTGCGTGTAGGACAGGTGAGGCTCCATCACCAGCTTTCTTGGCTGCGTCTTTTCATCCAGCATGTTACATGGAAGCTAACTGTGCTTCTGGACAGTAGGGGAACTGCTAGCATTCCAAATGGTTCCTGGTCTCCACAGACCTCCACACTAGTGTAAGTGTCCAGTCCAGGTCATCACAGTTGATAATGTGCTTTTATTTTTTCAGTGACCATTTCTTTACATTTATCTGTCATATAAACATTACACTGTTTCGTGCAGTAAAGCAATGAGAGGGCTGCAGCAGTGAATGCATCCGGAGCCCTTGCTCCTGAGAAGCCCACAGCCCTACTAGAGAAGATGACAATAATACACAATAATCAATAATTAACATTGATTGATCACTCAACCTGTGTCATGTTCTACTTAGGAGGTAATCTGAGCTATAATGATACGAAACAATGTCTCTGATAGTCACCATGTTAAGGAAGGAAAGTTACAAGCTTCAGCATGTCTTGAGTAACTAATCTAAAACCATAATTCTAAGGGAAGAGCCAGGCTCAGTCAGTGTGGCTACAGTATCTTTGCCCTACACCACCAGGTGCAGGAGGAGATGGAGAGGAGTGAGACGTGGTTAGCTCGATTTTGTGGGAAGTCCTCTGTACCAGGAAAAAAAGAACCTACACAGACTGTTTGGGATGCTGTAACTAGTTCACACTAGTTGGGGACAGTGGAGAGGTGGACAGAGGACTAAGACCGAGCTGAAGGAGAAATTGAAAAGATTTTTAAGGTGCTCGTCCTGAGTGCCTTAGAGGAGTTTCAGGTAGAGCTGGGGCATGAGCCTCACTTGTAGTTTATGAAATAACTTGGTCATAGTGTGGGGCTTTGGCCAGGAGTGGACAAGAGCCATTCTGGGAGAGTTATTTTACAGCATCTGAGAATTCAAATGAAGGGCTGGCTGGAAAGGGTTTAACAGAGATGGGTGAGAAAGATTGAGGCAGAGAAGAGAAGTCACTGAAATGACTGGAGACGTGGAGGCCAGTAAAGGGGCAGAAGGACAGCTTCATTGTGGCCACTTGGGATGTTTGTGCAGTTACAGCAGGTGGCTGGATGGCTGGGCCTGGAGCTACGGAAGGGGACTAAGATTCAAACATAAATTTGCTAGTAGCAAATCGCAAAATACTTGAAGCCATGTATGTCCCTTGGGGAGAGCGTGCCAATAGAAAGAGTAGATGTGGCCAAGTGAACCCAGTAACAGAAATAGAGGTGCAGGCTCTCAGTGGAGAAGATCCCAAGTATGGGACAGCCCAGGGGGTTGGAGTAGTTGGGGCCAGAGACCTGACAAAATACAGATGAAAAGTGCCTTTGGATTTTAGCATGGGGAGTTTGGGACCCAGACCAGAGAAGCATCCAGCGACCAGAGAGGTATTTGTCTTGGCATCTGCCTCTCGACAGACAAGTGCAGAAGTCGGATGTGTAATCGCAGAGAATCCACGAAGAGTTTTTCAAGGTTGAAGGTCATGGAACCCAGAATCTTAAGGATCATATAATTTAACAGGCTAATTTCACTGGAGGCAAAATGAAATCCAGAAAGAACTGGTAACATATGCAAAGCGCCAAAATCACCAGGTTTTGACCCTTTCCGTTCAGGAGAGGGGTGGGGTTTAGAGTTTGGAG